GCGTAATGTTTTATTATCTTGTTGTTTCATTATAACCATATATGGGCATGTTTTTTAGTATATGTACGTCTCGGAAATATTGTTATGTAATCGTTAAGGAATGTTGGTTGCCTAATATTTCTTGGTATTGCGTAATATGTTTTAATTGCGTTTGTATTTTTTACACCCAAGTATGAGCCTACCTGATATATTCATTTTACAAGTTTATTTAAATATAAGGTGTATTATTCATATATTACAATACCTTCACTTAATAACTCAATTGGACATTTTACATTTTGCACCTACCTTTGTATGATGTAAAGGTAGTTGCCTCATTATATTATTATACAGATACATTATGTTATATATTATATTATTATTAGGTATGTAGCTACTATTATGTTTTATTCAATAGGTAGGTAGCTAACTTTTAAATGCAAATGCATTTGGGTAAACTTATTTTTGTATAAGAAAAAAGTTGTTCATTTTTTTTTTTTTTTTACTATATTATTATATATTATATTATGTGCTAGTTAAATGCTTCTATCTAAATGCTATTATATTATTATGTACCTAGCTATACTTATGTTATAATTTTAATAACTCAATGTCTCAATTGTGAATTTTATATTTTTTCTTATTTAAGGTGTACATAGTATTATAAATATATATTTTTTTTTGTTACAATAAATAAAGGTACCTTTACTGTTTTAACAATTTACTGGCGATTATTTAAACGTTGTTTTAATTAGAAAATATTTACATATTTTTACCACTTTATAGCTCCACCTGTAGGCACACTGAATAATATTTTTAATATTTTTAATTATATAACTTCTATTATTGCAAGGTTTATACAGCTAATATAATAGCTATAGAGCTATAATTATATAGAGTAATTATGTTTGATATAAATGTTGTTTCACAACTACTCATCGACATCAATTTCAAACTACTTAAAGTACCTAGTTGATAAATGCAGTGTAAAAAACTAATAATAAAAGGGTATAATATCTCTGAGAAGTCTAAGTGAAGTAAATACAGCAGTTTAATTTAACATATGGGTGAGTTTGATGTAGTATATTTTTGATGCTCTATAGAAGTCTAAGTTTTGTTTATTAACTATTGAGCGATCTAAATAAACAACCGATAGAAGTTGAGTAAGAAGTTATTTGTGAAGTCCTATAAACTTAATCTTTTAACATCTCATTTATAACATCACTCAACCTGGCGTTTGGCATCCGTGCGAATGTGCGATATCTCTGAGACAGCCTAAGGATATTGAGAAACAAATGACATAAGTAAATTTTTTGCTATAGAATTATGTGTTATATACAAATCATTGCTAATCAATATTTTTATTGCACAATGTAATAACATAAAATGTTGAAAAAGTTGTTTTGTTAATCTTCCTTTTAAAACAATTAAAGACGTATATAAAAGAAAAGACCTAAACTCTGTAGCTTTAAAAAATTCTAATTCGTCCAAACTCCGCGGTAATCTATTAAATTCTGAAGGGAAGTATGGTTTTATGTCAATGAGTTGTGAAGAAATTTCAGATACTATTTCAACACTTTTAAACCTAATAGGTTTTTTTCCTTTTACTCAAAAAGTAAGTAAACGTTTCATGACCCCAAGACAGACATTGTGCATATAGTCTAGAACGACAGTTGATACCAAATTAATGGAAAATTCTTCTAAAGGGCTAGGTCCTTTGTGGTAATCTTCATCCTTTTTTGAACGAAATGAATCGTCAGTTCTTAAAGGAGAAGACACTCCTAAAAATGACATCCGGCCATTAATAAATGTTCCTTCGTCGATACAAGAATTGCAGCTATGGTATGCGTTAAAGGATTTAACATTTAAAATAAATGCCTTTGCCGGAGCGTCACAAATTATTTGGCTTATAATAAATTTGTAAATTTTACCATTTAAGTATATTCCATTTGAAATAATACTTTTCATTTCAGTCATAAAAGAGCTTAACCCTTTCAGTCCCGACTTTTTGTTTCGAAAAAAAAAAATTTTTTTATGGTATTTTTTTATTTACCGTTTAATATAGTGATCCTGAAAATTTCAAAATTTTAACACACTTACTTTCGAAGAATTCGTAATGTACATTGGGACTCGACGGCATAAAAATAAGACTGTAAACCGAACGCTACATATTAATGCTTTTTATACGTACCTACTGATAAAATAATTTAGTTTTCTTCGAAATGGTTGTGGCTTATTGTGTATAAACATATCTAATTTAATTTATTTTATATCATTTCTTGTTAAATTTAACGAGTGTAGAATCAACAAAATAATATTCTAAAAACAAATATTCGTATTCTATTATTATAACGTCTCGTCGCTACGCTGCACATGATTATCAAAGTTTATAAATAAATTAATAATAACCATTTATAAGAATACACATAAGTATAAATTGTATTTATAGTAACGCTGTACAATTATTTTTTCGTAATATAACTTTTATTACTGATAAAAAATAAAATATAAATAGGAAATAAAATCAAAAAAAAAAATCATTGTACTTGTATGAAATTAGTTGTTAAAAATATAATAATATTATAAATTATAAAAATCTAAACATGAATTGCCCGAAAACAATTTGATTTTGTCGTCAGACATAAATGGACATTGCATTTTTCGCAATATACATGTGTTCTTCCTTTACAGCCTGCATTTTTGCATCTGGTCGCTTCTTTTCGAGTGTTTAAATCCGGCAAGTGACTCACTTTATCAAGTTGAATGGATGTCGACGGTCTTGAGGTTACATGTTTTAGTTTTTGATTTTCCGAGTATAATTTTTTTTTTACTGTAGGTGATGGTGTACTTGGTGGTCGTCCTTTTTTCTTTGTAGGGGGAGTAACTGTTTTGCCCATATAAATTAATTCTTCTGCCAATCTCATTCTAAAACTTAATAAGTCCATAATTTTTTTTTTAGGGACTTTTAATTGTTTGGTATCTTCAATATACTCCAACCAACTATTACTTACAGCCATGTCAAATGCATGAGAGACCATACGTAGTGTCCATTTTTTTGACCTAATGAAGCAACGATAAAAACTAACAAGTTGGTCGTGTTGGTCGACCCCCCCCCCCCATCGTTTTGTTGTAATGTCGTACTATTTCTGGTCTTTCAATATATATAAATTCCTTTTTTTTTCTGTCCCATCTTCTAACAACGTCAACGTCTCCCGATGTTATAATATTTGAGCACAAATATATAGGTTTGTTGTCGTACCACTTGACAAGACCTATATTTACATCCGGGACGTTAGAGCTGATCTCAAATGTAGTCCCTCTTCCCAAATTTGTCATAGTTTTATCGGATAAAAATGGAGGATTACAAAATCGATTTGAACGTATTGTACCAGTTGCATAATTTTTTTTTTTTTTTGCAGTGTATAAAATAAATTTATTGATGTAAAAAAATTATCCATAGTAAAATAGTGGCGGTTACTTTTTAGGTGTTCAGAAAGAAACAAAACTACTGATCCACCTAATCCAAATACTTTCCGTGATTCTTCCGATACTTCAGGCATATTACCTTGGTACATTAGTAAATTGTACACAATGCCGCTTTGACCACATAATAAGAAAAGTTTTATTCCCCAGGGATTTGGTTTTCCCCTGATGTACTGTTTTACAGAAAGATGGCCTTTAAATGGAACGATTTGTTCGTCTACTGATAAATATTCCTCTACAGGTAGTTCTAAACATGTTTTTTTAATTCGGCCAAAGAGTGGTCGAACTTTTATAAATTTGTCATTAGTATTTTTCGGAATATCAATATTATTAACCACATGAAAATGCGATCTTAGACTAAAAAAACGATTTCTATTCATCGTATCGGCAATCATTTTTATTCGCGTATTATCCTCCCAATACATGCGAATACGCGGGAACTTCAAAGCACCCATCACTAAATGCATAGCAATGAATTCCTTCATTTCTTGGATATTTGTAGACTTACAACTATTAGTATTTTTTTGAACCGCGTACAAATTTGTAAAAAATGACATGTTTTCAAAATCAGAATCATCAAAATATTTTGAAAAATAATATATTGGATTTTGTATTTCGTCTGGACACTCAGAGTGTTCCGTTTCGTTTAAACTTACCTTAGGAGGTCTAAAAGGTTTTTGTAGCCACTTCATATTTTTCTTTTCAACTGTAAACCATCCGGGGACATCAACTTCCGGAATATCATTTATATTTTCAAATTCAATAAAGTCGGGCAATTCAAAGTTTTCATTTTCATCAAAATTAGCTAGTAGCTCGTCAATCTCTTCATCACTATCACTTTCAAAATCACTTAGTTCGGAAATATTTCCATCTAATAATTCAACAAGTTCGAAATGAGTAAGTTTACTCATTTTAAAAAATTAAAATGTTAAAATAAAAAAGGTAAAATTACGTAGCGCGATTAACTAAAGATCGATAATTAAAACTCCGATACAGCGCCGAATATCAACAACGGGTCAACGTTCGTCGTACCTCGTACGTATGGCTATTTCCGTGTCGTCTAGCGCGCTCGTGGTGTACCGGCGAGTCCCAATGTACATTGCAATGTGCATATATAATACCTACTATAAACTTCGTTATATTGTAAGTAAGATAACGAAAGTGGAGGCAAAACCTCAATAGGAATGTCAGTAATTGATAAAAAAAATTTAAATATTTCTACGTTATCCTAAACATTCGGACATTCTGGAAAAATAATCATTATGTGACTGTCGTAGATTTTTCCCTTTAATTAATTTTCCCTACAATATTGGTAACACTGGCATAGATATAAATATGTTATTATGATTCTACACATGATTACCAATGCATAGACATCTCAAACATGCATGTAGCTCTTATCATTATTTAATTATCAAATATAAAAATGTGTGTACATTGTAATGTACATGGGGACTGAAAGGGTTAAGAAATTGGCAATCCATCAATATTTATTCCCAATTGTATAATAGATGTATTTTTAAGTTGTTCAATATAAGCTAGTAAAATAGGTGTATCATAAATTCTATACCAATATGAATATATGTACCAGGATGAACATTAATTATTGCATGGTTCTTGGGGGTTTGAAATAGAGTTCTTACATCTTTTGGCAAATCAAGTCCTTCAGATCTAAGAATTTCCAAAAGTTTATTTACACAGTTATGTGAAATATGAAAGTCACAAATTAACTGTCGTAATTTATCCTTAAGTGTTTTACTTTCAGCACTAATAGGTTGATTTGGATTATTAATTAAGCCTGTAGCTAATTCATTTGACCGATTAAAATTGTCTGGTAAACTGGGGTACATTGTAGTTTGATTAGTTTGAGCATTTGATGGGGTACACACATTTGTAAAATCTTGATGTTGCAACACTTCAACATACTCACAGTTTGTAGTACTTTCTTTCAGATGACTTGTTAGCGCAGTAAAATTTAAGCTAGCTGCTTTCTTATCAGCTTCAAGACATCGTTTGAAATTTGTTTTGGACATATGATGCAACGGTTTTCTTTTTTTTAACTATAACAGAAATTGTAATGCAGAATTTAAACAATATACTCAAATAAAAGTTAAATTTTGTAACTATTTTAAAAATTAAAGGTCAATATTATATATTTCAACTTTTAAGTACCGATGTATAAACTAAACTAGTATCTAACATCCTAACCTAACCATTTTAGAAAATGTATAGGCCAATATTATATAGGTATTTTAACTTGTATGAATGTACGATGTACATGACCTAACCTAGATTTAGACTAACTTAATTAGTAGGTACCTATATAATTTCCTGAATATTATCTAAAATATATATAATATTATTTAAAGACATTAATTTATTATACATAAATCATGTATATAATACTTACTATACAATATATAATAGATGAGTATACGTTTATACTATTGTTTTCTTTTTATAATATAAATTAATAAATTATTGGAAAAAATATTATTTATTCTTAGTCTGTTGATCTCTTATTAATCGCTGTGAGCCATGACGAAACCAGTCTTTAACATGCAACTCGAAATCAAGGTCTGATGAGTTGAATTTTTCCCTAGATAAGTCTATAGAACAAATAAACAAACAAAAATGAGAATTCCCACTAAACGTTTGTAACACAAAAATATTTAAATTACCTTTCATGATGCTCATAAACCAAATATTTTCGAGCCTGTAGTTATTTCGAAAACCTGTCCACGAACATTTTGAAGATAGCTCGTTACTAAAAATCCTTTGTAATACACGTTTAATGAAATTTTTGATATCAATACCTCCTATTCTAGTAATAAAATTCGTCTGAAAAATGTTATTATGTCTTTAATAGGACTTTATTTAAAAGGGAATATGCATTAGTTAGGTATTTATAATGTAACAGGCATAAACATAAGGGCAAACATACGTCATGTGAAGCGAATAGGTAAAAAAAAAATTAAAAAAAATTAATATTCTTACCACATGTAGTTTAAAATCTGAATCATTTGTGATACGAGTATCAAAATCTTTAAGTGAATCGATATCTTTTAAAGGAAACATGGTTAAAAATTCACTATCTATAGGATTATTATTATTATTTTGGGTACCAGCTGACATATTTTTTATGATTTGTTCAAGACAATCCAATCTTCCATCAATTCTTTTTAAATATGCATTGGTTTCAATGCCTTGTTCATATATAATATTTAATATTTTTGACTGAACAGCATCTGAAGTAGAAAAATAGTTATTACTTATTATACAACTAGGTACTAAATACAATATTTTACATGATATTAGAATTTAGATACATGTATATTTTTTAATAAAAATAAACAGTTTTTAGTTTTTAGCAAAGCATAATTTAATGTAACATGTAAATAAATTGCATGAGTGCATTAATGTTTTTGCAATAGTTAAGTGGTCTTAAATTGTCATCTTTTAATTGTGATATATTAACATTAAAAAAATCTTAAAAGTTATAACATAACTACAACTCACCACGATTAACAGAAAAATTGTTTAAATTATTATTAAGTATAGCTGAGGCAGACAGTAATGGGCGAGGTGTTGGAAACTGGGAATTTTGTGTTGTATTTTCAGTACACAAAGGAGATGCAGACTCATAAACATTTTGATCGTTCATATTTAATAATGTGTCCATTGCAGCTAAACATATTTTAAACGGGCAAAATTGGCACATTAAATATTATACATTTAATGATTTAAACTCCTACAACAAAAATTCGTAAATACTAATCTTACATATTTATTACTATTTTACTATATATATCTTTCTCCTCAAATTGTAACTCTTATACTCATAACATACCTACCATATAATTTGCTCTTATCTCACTAAATTACCTATCATTATTACCATGTATCAAACCTTTTATAATCACTATTTTAATGTTAAACAATTTATCAATTATTATTATTTAATATTAGCTTTAATGGATTTATCTGTTAACACCATATTCATATCGATTCCAGAATTACAAATTACATTTAGCCAGCTTATATTACTTTCTCTCAAATCATTATTTGAACGATATCGCTATCTGCGTTACCATAACACTAATTGGCTCTACGATCAGTTTTACGTTATAAATAACAAATTGTATATTATACCCTACACCATATTATAATGAATGATAACACTAATTACGCATTTGTTCACGAAAAAGTAAATAACGTGAACTCGGTTAATTGCTCTTTTGATAGTCTAGATACCTTTGTATACAAACAAAACTCACTCAATATATTGACAACAAATATCTGTAGTATTAAAAAACACTTCGATGAACTATGTATTATTCTTGATAACATTGAAACCAAATTTGAAGTGATCGTTTTAACTGAAGCATGGCTAGGTTTAGATAACATATCAATTAATAACTTCGCAATAAACGGCTATACAACATACTCCACCACAAACAATAAAAATCAAAATGATGGTGTTGTAGTCTACCTAAAGGACACATTAAGTAATATCATTGTTACCGAAACCAATACACAAGCATTAACAGCACTAGAGATTTCTTTTAAAGGCGGTAACACACGACTGGTGTACTTGGCCAATGTTGGTCACTGGTGGCCAGTGACCAGCCGTGTGGGAAGTTGAGCTGGTACAAATGTTGGTCACTGGCCGTTTCCCGTCAATTGTCGGTAAATGGTGCACAAGTCAAAGAACGGCCAGTCATTATGATGTGCATTGGTGACAGTTCCCACATGACTTGGCAAGTGGCTGGCAAACTACTGGGCTTTGATATCAAATATTTCGATAATTTAATAAAGAATAATATTTAAATTTTTAAAAACGTTTGAATTGAAGATTTGATAATGATAATGTTTATGTTTCAATGTGTGTAATAAATTGTATAATATGTTCCTTAATTATAATTGTACCTATATAGATTATTATTGTACATACGTACCTACATAGATATTACCTATGTTATGTGGGTATTAATTACATTTTAAAAATGTTGACTGTAAATAATATTTACCTGCAGTACCTATGGTATAATTTGCCCATAGACCATAGTCATATTTTATAAAACTATTTATAGTATTAGATTCTAGGAGTATTTACAAAATATTTCCGGTTTCAAAATTATCCAAATACCTATAGTATATTTATTTATAGTATTAAATATTAATATGTACAAAATTAGGCTCACCGAGAAATAATAATTTAGTATACGTTTGTATGTTGTCCAAAACGTGTTTATTGTGCAGTACAAATCTATATAATATTGTTATGAATGTTAATACTTAATATTATAATTTAATTAAAATGGATTGGTCGAATGAATTGACGATGGAATTTTTGGATGCCTACGAAAAAGAAAGTGTGATATGGAATCCTAAAAACAAATCTCATAGCAATCGAAATCTTGTAAACGATGCATGGAAGAGGATTCAACAAGGACTCAGTGCATCATATGATATAGCAGCTTTAAAAAAAAAAAAAGAATCTCTGATGTCAACATTTCGGCCTTTGCATCAAAAGGTCAAAGAGAGTATGCGAACCGGTACTGCTCCAGATAATGTTTTCAAACCAAATTGGTTTGTTTATAATAAGATGGACATTTTCTTAAGAGACGTCTATGAAAAAAGAACCACAATTAACACAGAGGTATATATATATTTTATAACTATTTTATTTAACAATATTGATCCTGCCATGGTAACTTACCATTTGTTATAAAATAATTTGCGAATTCATCCCTAATATGTTTTGCCTCGATCGCCGATTTCCTAGCGACTCTACGTATTGGCAATAATGATGAAATGTCCCCTATTTCACCTCGGCATGTACCTGGGACGATTTCTCCTGCATTTTCATAATCCAAAACTCCGGGCGGCGAATACATTTTGGAAGACGTCCTACTTTTTCTTAAAAAGTTATGTAGTAAAACGCATGTCATGACGATATTTGTTGCATTTTCCGGTTCTACTAATAACGGTTTTCTTAACACACGGAAAACGGATGACATAACGCCAAACACGTTTTCTACCACTCGACGAGCTCGCGACAAACGATACTTAAATACTCTTTCGGCGCTTCCTTTGTCGTATGTGCCAGGATAAGGTTTCATTAAATTTTGGGACAACGCGAAAGCATCATCAGCAACAATTACATATGGAATAGGTAACGTTTTTGAAGGTAATGGTTGATTAGTTGGGAGCATTAATTTATTTTCTTCGATTTTTTGGTATAAAATAGTGTTTCGGAAAACTCCACCATCGCTTATACGGCCTTGACAACCAATATCAGCAAACGTAAAACAATAGTTTGCGTCTACTAACGCCATTCAGAATTACTTGAATTCACTGATGTAAATAAAGCCACTGAATATTTCACTAGCACTTTAAATAATCTAAAAAACCAAGCCTCGGCTGAAATATCCATCTCCTCAAAAACCAAAAAACTGAAACCATGGGCCACTACCGCGATTATTAACTCAATAAGACAAAGAGACCGTCTCCATTTACAAGTTAAGAAACACCACCTTAATTTAAATTTAAAAGATTACTACGTACAATTTAGAAACAAAATTACAAAAATAATAAAAAATGCAAAGATCCTTTACTATAAATCAGAATTACTAAAATCTGGAAATAACACAAAACTTAAATGGCAGACTATTAACAATATCTTAGCAAAAAATAAGAAATCAAGTAACCTTAAAGAATTATTAAATAACTCTAAAAACAAAAATGATTATACTGATGAAAACCCCGAATATGTTTTGGCTGAAAAATTTAATAAGTATTTTACAAATGTAGCTACCGATTTAATTACGTCACTAAAAAACCGTAAAAATACCTATAATTGCACTACAAACTTCGACAAAAATTCACAAAACAAGGTTTGCTTTAATAAATTCGACCCAATCACTCATACTGAAATTTTTGAAGCTATCTCTAAATTAAAAAATGGATCTTCACCCGGTCTTGATAAGATATCCTCCGATTTACTAAAAAAACATAGTTTAACATTTTG